TTATACAGTACAGTTTCGGAATATTTTCAAGTGCTACCTTCCATCTGGTCAATAATGACGTAATGTCCATTTTAGTGGTCTAATCAATTTTTCAAGTTCAAAACAACTGGGTAATGGTAGTTTAAAAGTTTCATGTCCACTTTTTATTTTATTTGCGCACGTAACCTAACGTAAAACTACGGGTATTAATGTATTATTGATTTTTTTCTGTTTGCAAACTTTGCGATTACGTAAAAATGTAATATAATTTTTCAATTTCCAAGAATGTATTTTATTATAAGTTAATTCCAAACAATACAATTTTAAAATAATATAATTTTGTTGAAAATAAAATTTTTTAGTGTGAAATGAAATATCATTCATGGACCAAGATCCAATATATTTGAGATTTTTTAAAAATAAAATCAAAAAATCCTCTCAAATTATCATACAAATTAAAATGTCCCTTTTTTGAGAAAATCTCTGTCATTATAACACGAGTTATACTATAAATAAGAATCCCGGACGAAAAGTCAGAAAATACAAAATATTCTATTAGGTACATTCTTGTTATAATTATATAATTAATATTTATTTAAAAAATGTAATATATATTTTTATAGGCACAATATAAATTATATTACTATTCCTAAAATTTACCCACAGTTAACAAATATTATAGCTCCATATAGAAGTTTAAAATAATAGCCAATACAAAAGTAAGTTCAAAAACATCTAAGAAAAAATATAAGCCGTTTGACTTTTACAAATATTACAAGCAGTTTTTGAAAGATAGCCAATACAAATTGATCATCGATCATACTACAATTATAATAATAAAAATTATGACTTTTATTTTGAAATAATAAGTACTCGAATAAGTATAAGGAATAATAATCAAATATAAAAATATTATATTAATTATTATTAATATAATTATAAATGAAAATCTGATAGAATATTGTGTATTATATTATATTAGGTATGTTATATTATTGAGCTTTTTGTTTGACAATAAAAATGTGCTGAATTTTTGTCTAACTTTTTCCAATTCAGACTTTTTGACCGATTGCCCACGAATAAGTATTCTGTCTATTCTGCTTATTTATTACAAAATTGTTATGCAAAAGTTTAAACAGTGAACTGTACTATTTTTTAGGCAAAGGATTGCGTCAAGAGTTTCAAGTATCTTTATTAATCAATTCCAAATGCTTCATATTGAAAGCTGAGGTTGAACTGAGACTATTATTTGAATTTTTCTATACCTAATTTTCTGCAGGGAAACAATTGAAGTGTTGAAAAAACTGAGAATTTTTAATTTTTATACGAATGCAATTTACATATTAAATCTCTAACAGCTCTTACCTTAAAATTGGTTTTAGCATGAGATGATTTATCATTGCTTCTCAACGTACAACACTATAGTTCATTAGTAAATAGTGTAGGTAGTGTACAATGTAATACGTAAACACTCCTTAATCCGGTTTAAAACTATATTAAAATAACTCCAACCATTGTATCAATAAATATAGATATTAAAGTACAGTAGGTACCTATATAGATTATAGAAATTAAAATACAATTTAAAATTCATACTACAGAATTATGTCTAAATATTAGTTGTATTTTTTAAAAAATTTATAAATTTCAATCTATATTAGGTAATAGAATAAGTAAATTTATATTTTGATTGGAGAAGAAAAAAAAAGACTCACAAGATCAGGGAAAATATTGATTAATATTACTCTACAAAATAGATGGACACAATGAACTACCATACTACATAGGTGTACCTACCTAATGAATAATAATAGCAACACGGTAAGTTATCTAAATATCCAAGTTCAAGTATAGTTTTTTTTTTTAATACAATTAAGTATGACACATAATTAGGTTAAAAAGGTCTCTGGACCATTTTATTTTCAGTCAACGGGCTTCATTGACTAGGTCTAGATAGGATTTTATTAATGACGTAATTGTTTAAGGAATTGTTTGTGGAGTTAAGATGCTTAATCTATTAAAATTAATTATTTAAGCACAACAATACAACATGTATGATATGGAAGTTAGATGGACCAGAACGGAATTTTTTTTATTTAACACACAACTTGAAGGTATTATTAGTTTGTTTAATCTTCTTTTACAAATTTTCTATTCACTATAATTTTCTACTAAGGACCTGTGAGAATTTAATAAAGATATGACCTCTCGGAAATATTGTAAGTATTCAATTTCCAATCTATAAAAGTGTGGATGTTGCATAATAAATAAATAATGAAATATAATATCTATACACAGAAATAGAAAAAATTCTATTTAGTAATAATATTATTGTATGTTTAAATAAGAAAATTGTATGTTTCATCTCTAATTACAATAAAGATTCTTCATAATATGGTGTCATACCTTTTTAGATAGAGTTTGGAAATTTAATAAGGTTAATAATAATCCATAAGACAATCTTTTATAATAAAATATAAACAAATAAAAACATTCCATAAATATTCCCTAATTGAAATTAGATATTTTCGAGAATATCTTGAACCTTATTGTACCACAGAATAAATCCTTGAATAAATTCTGTACTTTTATTGAATATTTTAATATCTAGAAGTAATTTTAATTCTATCACATAGGTTTTATGTAGGCTAATTACTTAAGAATTTGTCAATTATTAAAATTATTTAATATTGTAATATCACAGATTTGCTCAGTAAAACAACATTATTTAATATTTCATCATTGAAGAAAATATAATCTTAATTAGGTATGGTACCTACATTAGGTATTAAAAAGATACCATGTGTTGCTCAAATCTAAACTTATAATAAATAGTCAAATTTTTAAAAATTATATTCCATAATCTCTATCAAATAAATTTTTTTTAATTTACATTTTAATTTATATTACCTACATAATGATTAATATTATTAAAAAATAGTGTGAGTCTACCATTACAGCATTTATGGACTATGGTACCTAGTAAATTATCAAATTATTATTTATTTAAGTTTCAATTGCTTTTATCTGAGTTTTATTTTATTAAAAAATTAGATCTATTTCTACTTTAAGAGAATGCCTGTACACTATTTGTATTCTCTCTTAACCAAGCGCAGCATACTTAGCAAATTTACATTTGGCAGATCCAATTTTGTGTTGTTAGCTTTACTGATAAAATCGAATTAATGATCTAAAATAAAACCGTAAGAATATTATCAAAGGCCCCTAGGTTATTATCTAGCCTTATGGTGATATTTTAAATTCAAATTGATTTAATTGTATTTAAATATTGCAATTTTAAGATGCTCATAATTTGCTTTAAAATTAAAATATTTAATAGATCATTTTACTATAATGACATAAAATTGGATCTGCATTGATATGTTGGTCGTGGGTCAGGCTGTCAGAGGGAAAACAAAAGGTGTGCTGACGTCTTCTGAAAATGTTAAATTGTGTTATATTATTATTATAATTATTATTTATTACTAGGTACCTACCTAATATTGTAATACTTTTATAACATATATGAATCCAAGCTGACCAACGTATTCATTAGAAAGTTCTATTTAACTATTATAAAGTGTTTGATTTATTTAGATATATGATTTCTAACAGGTAGTTTATAATAATTGAATATCTATTATAAATTAATAATTACCTAAGCAGATTAAGACAATGTCAGAAAACAAAAAATTGTGGTTATCATGTAGACATGTAGTAAAAATATAGGCAATTGAAAAATAACTTAGAATAAGTGGAAACATACTACGCCTAATACTAAAGTATATATATGTAGGTTATACCATATTATGTAGGTACGATTGACTCCAATAATTAGGAAAACCATGATAGTGAAAAATATAACATAATAGTAACAAGAATGTAACATGTATGTATGTATGATATAAGGATATAAATAATATTAGAATACCAGATGACTGATAGAGACCGGAGTTAACACTTTATTATAATAATTTAATACTACTATAAGAAGTGCAGTCGCTTTAACCTAAGCATAATATAATACTTAATAGGTATAATAATAATATATAATATATAATACATAATAGGTAATTCATAAATGATATAATTTACCTGATAGGTAGGTAGGTATAACATAATATAATGTATTGCACAAAAATTATTTTTAGTTATAACAATAGTCAATAGTTTCCAATAATAAATATAACATACATAGGTAGTGTTGTTAACTTCCAATCGAACAACTCATTACATGTTTTTAATAGGTATTTAAAATGTACATCCTATTTCTATGTGGGTATTTATTGGATTCCTATAGAAGCGACCAATCGAAAAGGGATACGAGGAATGAATAGCTTACCTTTGCTAGAAACCACAGTCGTAGAACATTTTTGAATCTCGGACGCGTAGTGATCCGGACGCGAATTATTGATATGAATATTGTCCACTATTTTATTGCATTATAAATTGTAATATACTAATATATTATAGCAGGCAACTAAATTACTATTTACGCGTGACCGTGTCTTATAGACGATTGTATATATTTCAATGAACCAGGATTCAGAATAGTTATGCTATAACTATTTCGCCAGATATATATATATTATGTATAAAAAATAAATATATATATATTTATATTCGGGGGGTTAGCGAAAAACTAAAAAAAAAACAATAAGCGTTAGAAATCGTGTGACAGGGTGAAACAAGTGTGTACCGTAAAGTAACGTATTAATAACAAATAACAGTAAATGAGTAAAAATAATATGCGCGCGTACAATCGGCTATTGTGCAGATCGTTAAGTTTCGACGTTTCGACTGTTTGGAGTGGAGAAACGAAATTAATAGTTATAATCGAAACGACACAGTCTACACCGTACACGAAGCGTACGGCGCGGCGTTCTGCGGCAGTGCGGCGATTACAGCTGTTTGGCAGTTTGGCTCAGTGGGGCAAAAAACAGTTGCTCGCCGATCAGTGTTTCTTAAAACGTAACCGCACGAAAAATAATATATAGAACGGTGACACGGACGACGTGTTCAACTTACCACGAGCACGGGCCCACGAATTTCGTGTTTGAGTCGCGTAATCGTTATTATGCGCGTGAAATATTGCCATAGATGCGTGTGAAAATTCAGCTGTGTTATCACTTATCACCCGACATTGGATTGATAACACGGTGGTTTGTTTCGGAGGCCGGTTCTTGGTGTCTTCTCGTTGCTGTTGATCGCCGAGGGCCGACGGCGTCCGTTTAGTGCTGTAGATCGTTAAATCTTAAATTATTAATTAAATAGTCAATAGTCAATTGACATTTGAGTATTGGCGAAAGTGCCCGAATTATATTATTTTAATTAATTTCCATCACCTTTGTTTGTTGTAAACTGTACCTTACTACCTAGATACCTAGTTGTATAACAGCTTGATATTTACTGTTACTGGTGTAATGACACGATAATTATTATCGATGGAAAACTCTGACCAGGAGACTTCGGCCACGGTTACTTTAGCAACACCGGCACTGTCGACCCCTACAGATGTGAACGTGAATGGTCGCCACACAACAAAGAAAAAGTTGTACAAGCAGCATTTTTTGGCTCTCTGGGAACGATGCGAAATCATACAGCAGGTAAAATGTTTATGTGGTTTAATCTCTTAGGGTTGAAAACTGATTTCTGCCACTTGCGATACCAGGGTGTAAACTTTTTATATACGATTCTGCTTCAGTACTCTTTCTTTTATTTGTTGATTGATTATGTATGTAATCTATGTGTTTAAGGACAACGAACGTCTAGTTCACAGGATACATCAAGTAGCCAGACAGTTGAGACGGGTCCGATTGGAGCGAAAGTATGTGTTTATATTCTGTCGTAAAGACTCAATTAAATCTAACTGATATGTCTTCAGGTTTATTATGGATCGATTGGACACGCACAAAGACAACTGGAGAGAAGCCGAATTGAAAATAGATTTAGGAACTGATCTGCCTTTACCTGAACCAGTTAATTTAAAAGTAATACTGTTTAAAAAAATGTTTATAGTATATTTTTATTATTATTAATATTATTATCTATTTATTTATAAAGAATCAGGGAGCTGTTGAAACACCTAACGGAAAAAAAAATTTTAACATAAAATCTACAGAAAAAAAAGATCCTAATTTGCCAAAAAGACCTGCAAATCCATTTTTTAGGTTTTGTCAAGAACAAAGGCCAATTGTACTTGATAAAATCATTGCGGCAGGTGAAGGGGAACCGACAAAACAAGATCTTACAAAACGACTAGCCATTACTTGGAATACTATGGAACATGATGAGAAAAAAGTATGTGAAAACAATTTTATAATTTTGAAATATTTGTTAATATTATATACTATTATATTTTGGATATTTTAGCACTCTGATTAACTGTTATAATTACACGTTATAAATACCTAGAAGAAATTTTGATTTAATGAAGCAATTTTGTGTAGTTTTTGTGTCTTATGCAGCTTTAACATTTTGATTTTGAATTATTTTCTTTATATTATTTCAAAAATAACTATTTAATTGGTTTTGTGTATCTAGGCAGCTTAAATTAACTTTCATAACCTGATAAGCAATAAGGCAATAAGGCAATACGTATTAAGTAAAATAGTTAAATTGTATACAGGAATATTTAAAAAAAATCACATTTCTTATAATGTTGACCGGTGATTATTTTAAAACAGAATGTTGATCATCCCACCAACACCTAGTCAATGTATAGGTTAATAAATGTTATTTGTAAATTAATCCTTAAATACTATATTTTTACAAAAAAATTAAGTTTGTACTTTTTTATTTTACAATACTATAAACAGTTTAGCTGTTAGTAGTTTATAACCAAGGCTTAGAAGTACAAACATTGACACGGTACTCATCGACAGCAAGTACAAAAGTCCTCAACTGTACACCAAGTGGGAGAATATCGAAGTTAATATTGATAAGATTGGCTAATGTTTCGCTGATTTAAATCTCATACCGCTCAAATGTTTTTCATTTAATTCTCGATATCTCCCAAAACTGGCCACAAAACCTGTGGCAGCATCAAATGGCTCCTTGGCGTCAACATATTTCATTATTTGCACATTTTTTCTGGAAAATCTTATTACAATCAATGTAAAATATAAATTTATTTTGTAATAACAATAATAATATCAACTTGAATTCTAAATTGTTGTGTCATATTTACATTGTGTTGTTTTGTATAATTTTTTTGTTATTTTGTTGTGTATTTTGTTACATTCCGTATAAGCTATACAATTTTAAAAATAAAATATGGGATTATTTTTTAAATTATTTCCATGTAAATATCTATAACAATAATTGTAACCATTTAGTAATTTGGGGATATATTTTGTTCAATATATATATATATATTATTAGATATTTTAATTAGTAATCTTAGTATTAAAGAATAATATTTTTAAATTTTAATAAAATATATCTAATTTTAAGTATTTGAAAATATTAAAAATCAGATTGTTAACTTTTGGTATCTACATATTATTTCAAATATTTTAGCATTTTTAAAAAATTGTATTCACACCTCAACTTCCAAATCATATTTATTACTGTGTATAACTTTATGGTGAATATCATGTTTTCATATTTTTCCTTAAATTAAATTAAACTAAAAAATTGTCCACCATATTGTATGTGTTAAATATTTATTTTTATTGATTAGAATTTTATAATGAACAAAGAGTATTTGAATAATAATACCAGAGTAATAATAATTACATACATGGTATAAATATTATGATCTAAATTTGAAAATTATTTATTTTTTAGATTTATTATGATATGTACGAGAAATCTAAGGAAAAATATGCTGCAGACATGGAAGAGTACACACTTAATAAATCTATAAACGCAGTACAAACATCTAATTTCTCATCTTCACAATAAAATTTGATTTAATTATCTATGATTTAAATTGTGTGTTCAAATTTCAATGTATGTATCCTATGTATTATTAACGAACAATTTCTATTCAAGTGTATAAAAATGTATTATTGCAATAAAATGAGTATTATTTTTCATAAGTTATTTTTTAAGTCCCTCAACATTTTCATTGTTTCAATTGGATCACCGATTGTTTGAGTAACTTTTTGAACTGATTCATTCTCTACCCTCATGAATGGATTAATAAGCTTTTCTAATCCTAAATACAAAAAAAAAACACCATAATGAGATAATTTTTTACATTTAAAAACTGATTTTTACCAATAGTTGATGGAACACTTGGCTCTTTTAATTTTCTTTTGGTTTCAATATCCTTCAATTTATTCAATATATGTTGATTGGATGGTTCAACATGAAGACCAAACTTCAAATTTTGAATGGCATATTCATGTCCACAAAACACAGCCTGAAATAATATCTAAGTATTGTAATACATTCAATGGACAATGATATTAATATTTTTTCTTACAGTGCTGTCAGGTAACTGTGATAATATTTTGATTAACGCCTCATACATTTGTGTTGCAGTACCTTCGAAAAATCTACCACAACCTCCTAAGAATAGAGTATCTCCTAAAAAAATTTGATTAAATTAAGGAGTCATACTTATAGCCAACAATCACTTATAACAACTAACTTTTTCTTTATCAAACTACTTGGTCAATAATTCAATTTGATTCTTATTATTTTTTAAATAAAAAAGTACTAATATAACAAAATGTATAAAAATTGAATAAAAAAATATATTGCATTAGTACTTATTGATAAATTCAGAAATATTAGTATTAATTTGAGACATGAATTAGGTAATTAGCCACAAGTTTCAGTGTTTCACCAGACTGAGGACTAAACCAGTGATTACAAAAATAATTATACTTATAAATAAAAACGAAATAATGAAATTAAATTTTTCATTATTTATGAAAGACAACAGGTTGTTACAACCTAAATACACAATTTAAAAAAAAGGTATTTTAAGCTCTTTGGTTTGGGTTTAAAATTTTGAAAATCATACATGCAATCATATAATATAAATAACCTGTAAAAACAACACCATCTTGTCCTTCATTAACATAATAGCAAACATGCCCAGTGGTGTGACAAGGTGTGCGCAAACATTTAATATTTAATGATCCCAATTGAAGATCTATTCCGTGTGTATCAATCATAACTGTAAGACCATCAATTCGGTCGTCGCCTCCAATAACAGTCAATTGATCATTGGTATTGCCGTTAATAAGTTCTTTGTTGCCACCAGCGTGATCCCTAATAACATTTCAAATTAAAATTGTACTAAGTTGCCATTCATAAATCATTGTAAATTAAACTCATTGAATCATATTATTGCTATGAAAAATGAACAATGAATTTTGTACTTAAATTTAAACAATATATTTTGGCAAACAGCCGAATTGGGGCTATTAAAAATCACCTTAACTTAAAATTATTGATCACATTTGTTAAATTTTATCACAACCATAAACTTATATAATATTTTAGTTGAAGGTCAATAATTTAAAAGTACAAAAACATCCAAAGCATATAAACAATTTGAAGCTTTAAATTTGTATAGGTATCTAAAACAAATAATACAATATTTTTGTAATTTTTATTTTTCATTTATCAATTCATGAGTAACCAAAAACATTTAAGAAAAACTTTTCATTTTAGTTAAATACCATATACAATATTTAGAAAAGTGTAATAATAACAGCTCTTTTCAGGTACATTACCAATGGTGGTGTGTTGTGAGTACAGTTGTTAATTTAACATTTTCTTTACGGACTGCGTCCCAAACCACATCAGGTGCTACAGGATCAACAATGGCTGCTTCTTTTGTGCTATTATCAATCAACAAGTACATAAAATTGTCGGATAATGCTGGAAGCACTTGTACTTTAAATTTTCCGAACTCTTTAGAAATGATGTTGCTATGCATTGTGGTTAAAGGCCTTTGTACTAAACAAATATAAACATTAAGCATGTTTAATTATCACCTACTTATATATATATATATATAATAAAATTGCTTACATAGAAATGAAGAGTTCTTAATTATTGCTCTTGGTAAAGTAGATAAAATTTTAATGAACATTGGAATAATGACATTAATTGTAAAAAACTGAAATTTAACCAAAAACAAATAAAATTATAAATTTAAAAGAAAACTTATGAGTTTACGGCTTACCAATGATGTTTTAAAAATGCCTGAAAATGATAACAAATAAGTAGCACCTACTTGTATAAGATTAATATCTGTATCAGTACTACAACTCTGTACTCATTAACCTATTAACTTTGTTTTAAAACTTTCCATAAACTTTATAGTTTATAATATTTTCAATAGATAAGTGTTATCATTGTGCTATTTATATGAAAATAAATAAGTAATTCAGAGTTAAGACATTAATAATTATTAAATTTGACTCTTTAGTCTCCATGGCAATACAATTTTATCCATCAAGTTTTATAATTATTTGTACTTTAATTAGCTACCTCTGAAACTCGCTGTTGTGAAAGTCAGGGGCTTGTGAGACTCGGTGATGCAGACGACAATGTCGTTGAGATTACTTATAGAAGTCACTCTTGTAAGTTGACGTCATGGGTAGTTAAAAAACAAAAATGTAGGAGGTGATAACGATTTTTGATAAGTCTTGGAGGTCTCGTTTCGAGCGCGGGAATGTTTGAAATTCCTGTTTCGGTGTCTAGAAATATCACTTCACCCACGAAAATCGGCAATTGAATAATACGGTTCCCCGTCGCATGTCCGGTGCTTTTTCGTATGCAAAAAAATGTAAATTCGAACTTTGTGTTGGAATGTCTAGCAAGTCCGTCACGGCGTCATATCAAGTGAAAATCGTTTAACATTCAAGTTAGCTGCGTAGGTAGTAGGTACTATTAGCACTACAACAAATCAGGTAGGGCTCAATAGTAAGTGAAATTAGTACTTAGTGGATAGATGCTTTAGTTGAAATCTATTAAGGTTCGAGCTCGGTCACTCAGCTATCGGTGCAAGAGGTTCAACAGTTTGTGTACATCGTCGTGTCATACCTGAAGCTTTTTTTTTTTAGATACCATATTGTTCACAGGATTGTTGAAGGTGAACATGATGTCTGCGTACAAATGTCATAGTGTCTATCATAGCGTATTATTTGAGGGAACGATGTGTAATTCGCCACTGTAATAATCTCTGTATGTAATAATATTATCAAAGGCTCGTTTCACGTTACGGTCTCTGTCTGCTGTATCCACTATATCGATCTCTGTCACACGCATCTTTTCCCTAATCGCGTAATTATCCATATGTCCGGTATCGTAGGTACCCGTCACCCGATAAAGTGGAGTGATGGAAATAAGATTTTGGCAACTGGCACTGCAACGTCTGCAACCGACGTATATAGACTCATTTCATTTCTCAACCAGAACAAGGAGAATACAGCGTAAGTAAACTTTGTGATTATTTATTAAATATTGGGTTATAAGGTACTTTGATACTCGCCTTGACTTTCGTGTTTTTTGTTTTTATTTTTGTTACATGATTTTTACTTAATATATTTTAATATTTAAACCATTTTTTGAAAAACATTCCTTGCAATTATTTTATTTACTACAAATTATTATGTCACTAATGTATATTGTCTATGGTTACTACAGACCACGTGTTTCGTTTTTTTTTCATAAATTCATAATTATTTGTAATTTTATAAAATTTGTATAACTAAAAGTATGTCTGTGGTAACCAAAATCGATATTTAAAAACCTATTCGTGAAATGTCGTATAGCCGGAAGCTCATACTCGCGGCACGTGTGCATTTGGATCAATGTACCTAAATCGTATTCCGTTATGTTTAGTCTAGCATGTTACATGGCTATAGAGTACTAGAGTAGTGTGTGTGGAAAATTTTTTTATTGTTAAATTTACTTATGTATATACAAATGATTAGGTTACAAATGATTTTTTCGTAAATTCATAATTATTTGTAATTTTATAAAATTGGTATAGGTAAAAATTTGTCTGTGGTAACCGATATGAACATTGTTGAACATCAGTTCGTGAAATGTCATATACCTAAGTGTTTATGAAATCAATCCGACAAGGTGCGGCAATAGGATTACCAGCAAAAATAATATATTTTATTTACATTTTTTTTTGTGTTGTAGAATGAAATTAACACAGCATTTTCATTTTTACGGGCATGGTGTAAAGGTGTTCTATGCACCTGTTTACTCCTCCTGAGGAGGTTCCGGTGGAGGAAGGAAGCGAAGTGAGTAGATTTTTACCAAATACAAATTTCGGCTAAGAACTATTGATGACATATATTTATTTTATGTTTCAGGGTGTTTTCGGTGTCGACAGCCGGGCAATGTGGCCCGCCATTGTCCCGATGAGTGTGTGTACCACGACCAATTTTTGTTATAATTTTTAAATTTTTATTATAATTATAGTTTTAATATTGTAGCCCGGTTAAGTTTGCCGCCGCCACCGCCACTGCCACCGCTACCACCTTCACCTTTACCGAAACCTCAAATAAAAGAGAAGACCGACGACACAACCATGGCCACCGTCAAGGAGGAGATGGCCACAGTCACGGAGGGGGTGGCCGCGGCGGTTTCAAATGTAATTACCTAACACGCATTTCTAATTTTATCCATCAAATTTAATACTTATTTATACTTTAATGTTTAATTACTTATTTATTTCCATATCAATAGCACAATGTCACAATGATGACACTTATTTGAAAATAGTAATAGAGTATGGACAATAGAAAATAACCAATATCAAAATCTGTTTTTAAATTTGAAAATAATTCGATTTTTTTGATTAACAAAAGCTTAAAGAACAAATTTTGGCTGCTACGCATAAAGAAAAAACTCCACGACTTGAAGTGTGTTCAAAAAAATAACAATGTTAAATATTTTATTACACCATAAAAATTATAATAATAATTTACATTTTATTTCATAATAAAGATTTCCTAATCAATGAAAAAAATCCTCTCAATTCAAGTGTTATATAATTTTAGAAAATCAAATTATTTTAAAATTTCCAAAATGACTTAGAAAAAAATTATTGATCCATATTGGCTGACAAAAATAAGTGTTGCTATACAAAAAAACTTTAATTATACTGTTTATGCCTGAACCAAAGGAATTACATTTTTCAAATCATAGAAAACCGTTTTTCGGACTGAGATATTTAGTGGTTGAACTAGATGGAACAATGGGGACACACCATAATTTGCCACTGCCATATGGTGGCAAGGTGCAATGTTCGTAGTGTAGGTAGTAGGTAACCATTCAAAGAACTTAAATATGATTCAGTTCAAAATATTAAATTGCTAGGTAGGTAGTCATATTAATAAGGATCATGTTATTCACAAATTATTTATTCAAATAAGATCCTATATAATTAATGTCTAAATTCAGAAAAAAAAGTTATTAAGTACAAGTTATTATTTAATAGGTAGGTACTTAGTAATTACATTTATTTTTAAATGGGTTCTATGGTATTTTTATTAGTTTTAAATTTATTCCTGTGTCAATTAATAATTTGGATTGAAAACATACTTTGTAAACCTACTATTGTATGTCTGTACATAATATTATAATTATATTTTATTTTAACATTTGTTCTAAATAACTGTAACTGGATTTAACGAGGCCAATTCTGTACCAAAATGTTGATAAACTGCAATATCAAGTTTATTCAAACATTTTTTACTTACGAAGAATTGTAAATTAAGATAAAGTTTTATGAAGCTTATCCGTCCATCATTGTGATACAAAATAAAAAACACATAGATTTATAAATTAATTTGGTGTAACTATGAAAGGTTTAGGCGAATGTAATAATTGGTGTGTAATAAAATAGATGACATGGTTGTAGATAATTCTACAACTGTATGTCAGCACTACTCTGTACGCCAGTGCTTCTCAAGCTGGGAACTGCGAGGGCAGGAAAATATTATTGAGGGATCTGAAATATTCAGATATATTAATTTTATTTTTATTAATTGCTTAAGACCAGGCGCTTACAAAATAAACCATTATTATTTTTGGCTATCAAAACTAAATGATCAGTTGTTTAATAATAGTAAAATTATTATTATTAAATCAATGAAGTTTATTTCACTAAAGACTTGATCAACTTTATATTACTATAGGTACATATAGTGAAGAAAAAGTAATTCCCTGTTAATTTAACAGTTTTGATAATAAAAAGAATCTAATTTTATAGCTTCCGGGCCCACCACATGCTGTTAGCTTACTGCAGCAACTTATTCTTCAACAAGTCTTTTTTTTTTTAGGTTAATTATTAGTAATTTTACAGACAAAAAAATAATTCTAGAACTTAGGGGAAGGCCTTGATAGGTTTATATTAAATTTAGGGTATCCCTTGACAAAAAAAAGTTTGAGAAGCACTGCTGTAGACTGCTTGAAGCCTAAAAGGAAGTTTTGAACATGTTTGGACAAATATGAAACTTATAGTTCTTAATAATATTTTACAGCAGCGTTTCTTAACTAGAGGGTCGCGACCCCCAGGGGGGTATGCAAACGCCTTGACTTGGGGTCGCATATGTCAAAAATAATAAAACGCTGTTTTACAAAAATTTTATTAAAATATTTAAGACTTTTTATTGAAAAACAAAAATTAAAATAATAATTATTATATTATCCCGACAAGGATATACATAGATATGGTATTTATAAATTGATATTTAAAATGTTATATTTCGTTTGGTTAATGATAGGATATTTTTACTGTTCAAATTTTTACCTAATATAGATGGAGAGGGGGGGAGGGGTCGCGACACTAAAAACGTTGAGAAATGATGTTTTATAGTACATTTTGAATGATAACATTTTACTATAATAATAATATCATATTTAAATTAATTTGATTAGATTTTAAAATGCAGATATCAGTCATTAAATTATAAGACATATTATATTAAATATTTCTACCAACTAAAAAAGTATTACACTGTGTTTCTAATGTACCTAATGACAAAAATATATATGAAAAATTACATTCATAGGTAATTTAATAATAAGCAAATCAATACTTTTAAAATAAAATGCTATATTGAAGTTCTACAACTTAAATTAGTTTTAAGTGACCAGTGATTTGGTCAATAACATCAGAGTTAGCTGGACCAATACCTATTACAGTAGGTGTTCCCGCTTTGACTTGAGTTGCTCCAGCGTCATATATAATGCAAGAAAGCACTTTGTGGGATTTCGCAACCTTTGACAATTCTTGAAGACCTTTTTCACCAGTGCCAATACTAACTACAATCTTTCTTTGTCCAGTCATTTGCCACATTTTTGCCATTTGAGGTTTGTGTTGCATTGCCGCTTTATAACATTCAACAGAAGCATGGGAACACTGTGCTGCTATTTTACCCTTAGTCATTCCCAAATCATTTCTGACCACTAGTACAAGTTTATTATTTACAGAAAGTGCATTTAATGATCCAGAGAGTAGTGGTCGAATGTTGCGATATCCATATGAAACTCCCGTGCCAACCAAAACACCAACAACAAATGGAGTAATGAACTCATGATTGGAAATATCAAACATTGTCTTTGTTTGCAAGTTTTTGATTTTTCTCAATACACAGTTTAAATTCTTTTACTTCTGCTTGACACTTTCTCCAGTCTTTTGTTTTAGCTATACAGTCTTGGACTTTGTAATGTAGGTGGGCACAGTTAGTTTTGTTTAGTAATTCGTCTAGTAAATCAATGTCATCCTTTGCTTGACTGGACTCTCCTTTTGAGTGCATTTCAGTATTCCCAATTTACCTAAAATAAAAAATCATTATTAATGATTTAAGACAATTATTATTTTACAGAATGCATGAACCATTTAAGTATATTAAATATTTTACTAAATTAATTATTGATAAAAAGTAATTAATTGAATAAATAATACTCAATATTTATTTCACATGATAATATGTAGTGTACACAGTATAAAGTAATATCACAAGACTAAATAAAACATTTAAAAACACTAAATATAGACAAAAAGTTTATTTGATTTTAATGAACTAGAATAAAATTCCCGCATGAGCCAGTGGCGTATAAAGTGGCGATCAAATGTTCAATACATTGTGTTCATATTGCTTTATGTAACTATTGTACATTTGTACCTATGTACTATACTACTTAACCATACCCCATGCCCCTTACACACTTTTCATGTCTTACCTAAAATTTTTTGTTTTTTTGATAGCCTACTAAATTCAATATTAGAAGTTGATTGAAAAGTTTTTGAGAAATCAACAAGGAAATGTTAGATTATCAGAACCTTGGATGACGATATGATATTATATCATTAAGCATGGATGACATATTTTTTTTTTTAATTTATAAAAATTAATTCTACATGATATTTATAAAATACAATTTTGAAATCTCTATTTGTATTGTTCATGTCATAATTATAACCACCCAGCTCTCTAAAACATGTATAGTTATGGTTATGTTAGTGTTATGCTTGACTGATAAATGATTGTGGTAAATTGGGCCATAGAAAAAATAATTTCTATATACATCACTGGAGTAAGGCATCCTATGGCAACCTATACAGGTTGAAAAACAAAGCTATAAACACTCCCTGAGTCTTATGGAATTTGCGTGCGAAATTGATGACAAGCGAGTAGGTACTAACAAACATACAATCATATTTATGTTTAAGTTATTTTATTTTATTTTGTACATAGATATAAAAAAATAAATGGAAAACAATAAAGAAATTGAGACATATTATCATTTTTTAAGTTGATCCAGCATTTTTCTACAGGGATAATAGATGTACAGATATGTAATATATAATATATAATATACCTACAGAAGTATAAATTCTAATAAATATAAAAACTTAATATAATATACTAAATACAAAAAGACTTACAACAAGCCTTAATTCCAAATTCCGATTTTTAAATAGATTTCATATGTGGTAATTAGGTATTCTCATTCTGCTTATTTCTATAATTAATTTGATTATTATTTGAGATATTAAAATATTAAATGTAAAATTATTAAACATTCAAACCTGCAATAAAAAAAAAAATTTTAAATACCTACCTGCGAAAATGATAAGATGGACAACTGTTTTGAAATGATAAGTGATAACATTTTTAATTCATGATTAAAACCATAGCCTATTAACTTTAGTTAATTGCACGAACATGAACATTATAGGTTAGGTTAGTACTCTATAAATGTTCATGAGACCGAATTAAGATAACTTAATTCGTGGTTAATAGGTCTATGATTAAAACTATTATTCTAAGACCGTCTGACCAGTGACCGTACATCACGATTTAAGATAGTACTATCTTAAATCGTGCCGTACATTGAAGTATGTTTGCTCTTATCACCGGTCACCAACACGAGGCACGAATTAAGAATTAGGATATACCACAGATTATAATATGAAATATAATGGATTCCACAGATAGGTATATAGAATAATTTATTAATAGTTTATTCTATACTCATGTGGGATATTTGTAGATATATATAGATACTTACTCTATGGATATACCGCTACGCCATAATAAATTACGCACTAGGTTTTGTCTCTTGACTAGCTGACTCTCGAGACTTGAATGTTAACGAACAGTGAGCGCATATTTGCTTGGGTGTTTAATAATTTTACTGGGGTGGGTAATTTTGTTAGGGTGTAAAAATATTTTTATACTTAACTAGCATTATTAAACATTTAAATGTACTTGATTTTAATTAACTGTGATGAATTAGCATTAGACAATGTATCAATATTTTACTGATTCATTCTAGAAGTCAGCACATAGTTAACAATGTAACGTACTACATTACTACCTAATGTAATGACTAATGCTGTATTATATTGTATTCAATCCTGTATTTACCTATAGAGGTACTGGGAAGATAGGTGAGGTAGATATTAGATAATATTATGATATTGTATATTTGTATTTATAGACTTAAGAATAAGTATTACTGGTATTAGTAGACTACATTAAAATTTAAAGCTCGATAATGTAAAATAACATTAATACTCATTTTATATCATTAAAAAAAAATGTTATACATAGGAAGGTTTCCATTTTATGTGTGGGAGGATAGGTCTTGGGTATCTTTAATATTTGCCCTCATGGATAAACTATTAGTAACTCCATATTGGTAACACAATAAAGCCGGGTTCGTCTGTTATGTTGTGTCCTTCCGAGTTCAAAAGTTAAGCTCGACCCAACTCTGGACATTTCCTGTTCGATCATGGTTAGTCAGTGGTTAAAATGCTTCCCCTTTACATATTAGAATTAATATTATTCAGGGTTGAAATTCGAATGAGTATGCTTACACAGTCACTATATTTTATACATTACATTACATAACTGGGAACATTAGACTTACAATACATACAATTATGTATGGAACGCTTAAAACTACATGGAGACATTAGTTCCCCTGGAATTTTTTCCTGCTTTAAGCCTTATGGTTAGTGAATGTCAATAATGATACCATATTATGATTACTACTGCCAAATAAAAGCCACACAACACACAGTCCACAGATGACTTAGCTGTGCACCCGGCTTTATATAGAACAATATATAAACACCCAGTGGCGTATCCAGAATATTCTTTTTGAGGAGGGGGTTATATAAAAACTTTTTCGGTAATACTAACAGGTTCTTGTAATAAATGTATGTATAGCTTGTAATATCATAAATAATCATTTTGAATGTATTTATATTATATTTTATAGTTTACGATAAGTTGGATTGTTGTAAAAGTTATTTAAATTGCCTATATAAAATCCTTTAAAATCGTCTTTTCAACAGTTCACAATTAATTATTCATATATGCGTAGTAAAAACTTACACTGATAACTATGCCCCATCAAAGCGTTATTTAAAAATATTTGTAGCAGAGAATTCTTTTTGAATGGTAAGTTCTTACACGGGACATCGGAAATAAAGGATATAACCATACATGATATTACCTATGTATAAAGCGTAACTTCTCCCATACGAGTAAAAATTAGATGTTAGTTCCTACATCGTGTTCAAATTGAAAATGTTAATTCATTTATACATTAGACAACTTTCCTTTCTTATTCAGACTTAAGACTTAGGAGTGACAACTCATAATATTATTGTGTTTAAAATTTGGTGTCTGATTTGTTTTTGTGTGCTTAATTATTTAATGCCTAATATTGTAACAGAATCATTATCATTCTTTAATTATAATTTAGCACACTAAAACAAATAAACCTTAAGTCTGAATAATAATGGAATGAAATTAAACTAATCGGGTGTAGAAATTAATATTTTCAATTTTATCACTCTGTTGAAAAAAACATATGTACCATTTAATTTGTACTCATATATATTATATATATATTTTGGTTTTTCAAGTGGAAAGTCATGCTTTAACTGCTTACCTATGTATCATGTACATTTTGATTTCATGTATGCAATCATGACATAGTATACAAAATAAAAATAGTACCAACTTACTTTATATTATGTGATAAAATACATGTATACATTATGTATGCTACACATACTACATACCACATAGTACCACCTACCTACCTATAAAGTACATTATATGCATTTACCATTTACGTCTATAATATACGTTTAATATGCGTAATATAGTTATTTTAACCTATGATCATTTTTATTTTGATACTATTAGATGTATATACAATTTAAAAAAATTTAAAAACAAGCATACTTTATTATTTTCAAATCTGTATTTAAATATGTGGGATAATATGTAATATAATATATATATATAGGTATAGGTACAATGGGTGCATATCTTGATATGATACCTACTCAACGACGATTACAACAGTGTGCAAAGTAGAAATGCATATATTTACACATAATATATTATGTGATTTATTCATGTATTATAATAAGCAATATGTTCCAAGGTTTATTTGTTATATGTAATATACATAATGTATTATACTAATGATATAATATGTCCATAAAAACGCAGTCTTAACTTTCTACAATGTAGTAAATAGTGTCACGTCTGGTATTAGATCAGAAATTAACTAAAAAAATTTGTTCAACTACCTATTCCAGTTGAGTCTGGTCTAAATGTTTTTGTACAGAAAAATTTTAGATGTTACCTACGTTGGTTTGGAATTTTAATTTACACTTTGTTATATCAAGCGATTAAATTGACTGCCATTGTAATACACTTAGACAACTATTATGGATTCACCTAGTGCCATATAATATTTTTGAATGTATATTTTAGTGACTGGTGAGTGGTGATATTGTAATAAACATATAATTGTGAATAAAATGTGAATAAAATGTGTTAGTGAATAATGGTACTTAACGTCGAAAAAAGACAATTTGTTCAAATATTATGCACTTTTGTTTATACAGTTTTAATATTTCTTTTATAGTTGTAATTTACTGCACCTACTTCACTACTACTGTCTACACTTTACAGTCTATACTCTACAGGTTAGTGGTTACGGGTGCATGGGAGTATTGAAAACAATAAAATACGATTAGGTGTGTTTTAACTTTTAAGTAGCTATTCCTACACAAAATACATAAGTACATATCTTGTTAAATACTAAAATACATAAGCAGTATATACATTTTTAGTAGTTAAAATTAAAATTATTTTAATTATAACATTTAAATAGAAATTATTTTGGTACCTATCAAATAATGGGGAAAACAATCATAAATGTTACCTTACTAACCTAACTGCCAAAAGCATGTATATAATTTTTGTGTACCTGTACAAGTTACAAAAATAAATAGTATGTATTTAGTTTAAACTTAATAAATACGAAACCGTACAATGTACCAATATACTGTATATTATACAACACACAAAGATATTTTCTTTCATCAGATATGAATGATAGTCATTACGTATTACTTTAAAGTATTTTTTTGTTTAATACAAGACTTATAGGTATAGCTATATATTATTTATTTTTAATTTTGAGTGGAGTTATAAATGTTTCTGTCTTACAACACTGAGTGTTTCTTTTTTTAAATTAATTTTTTTGTGTGTGTCTGTTATTACTTATTATTTTTTGGAGCATTTAGAATTCTTTATTTTAAACGTTTCGGATAGTTTCTAGTAGAATATTTGATTTAGTTGGGTTATCTATGTATAGCACTGAATTATTTTATCACGAACATTTACATGCTTATCAGTCATCACTATTATAGTAGTATACGGTACCTACATCGGTATTGATTTTTAAATTAATATCAATAACATACTATGTTGTTGTTGTATTAATTAATAATATTTATGATATGCCACTGTCTTGAAAAAAACAAGTTTCACCTACTAGGTATATTACATTAAACTAATAGAAAATAAACTCACACCTATCTAAATAATGGATGATTTTTTGGGAACAAACCAAAAACTAAACTCTCTGAATAGCGGACACCTCCAAATAATGGATCAAAATCATTTTTCGCGTGCAATAATCTATCATTGAATTCTAATTTCATTTCTGTTATACAGTGACCGAATCAATGCCAGCTTGCACTTGAAACCTATATATCAGAGTGACTTAATTGTTTTTTATTTATTATTTTTTAAGTATCTACATATTATATAGCTTACAATATATTTATAAATGACACAGATATATACAATAGCGTATACAAACAAACAATATACAATATATATCGCGTATATCTGTGAAAAATGGTCAATATCTTATCAATCTATTTAAGTATCCTACATAGAAGAGTAATTACTATAATTATCTCAGTGAGCAGTAAGATAAAAAAACAACATATTATAAAATAATTTGTAACAAAGCTTAAAATTGTCTTATTTTTAAAGACATATTATATACTATTTGAATCACTTAAAAAATTATAATAACTGTTTATTTATACAAAAAAAGCTCGGAGGTTATTAGCCTTGACATATTTTTAAATATAACTTATGAATTATAATTTATAAATATCTATATATTTGCGTTTAAAAATAATTTATATATTTGTATGAACACTATTATATTATTAAGTATTAACAATACAGTTTTACTTGGTACCTTTGAAATAAAACTTATTGGTTTAGTTATGTTATACATAGGTATCTAAGTAAATAATTATATTTCAACAACGACAATGATAAAGCACGTGTTATCGGTCCCTAGTTGTGTGGATAACATATTAACATTTCACATGTTAAATGGCTTTATGGCGTTATGTTATGTATACTATTCTATGAATTATTATGGGTTTAATATTAAAATGTATTTATTTATTACTGAGTGACGAGTGTGTATTATATTTAAATTACAAAAGTCTACTTTTTAAATAAATTTTAATTTAATGTTATGAGGAATTCAAATAGATATTATAAATTGCTGGTTATGCACCTATTATAAATGTATAATAGACACTTAATAATTAATATTCAATAGTAAATACTAAATAAACATAACATAATAAATTATATAAAAATGAAATGATTTGACCATGATTTACAAAAAAAAAAATGTTTCTATAATAAACAAAAATAGAATAACGTCTGACCTAAACTAAACCTATCCATACATATACTCACTAGGAGGTACTTACTCTAAAAGTAACAAGCAGAAATATTGCAGGTCTGCATCATAAACCCATCAACTAAACTACTAAACTAATAGATCTATAGTTCTTATATGGAATTTGATATTTTAGAATATCTTTGCAAATTGTATCATGTTTTCATCCCAAAAGTTATTTATAAAAACTATAAAATCGGTTTGTTTTCTATGTTCTATCAAATTTGAATAATATAATGTATTAAAACAAATAACAATTGTAAAGATATAATTATTTTCGTCATGAATCAACGATCGTAATTACGTACTTAGACGTGACAATGATGTGGAAACATTGGCCTATATGAAAACAGACCGGATTAGTAATTAATGTTATTTGGATGAGAATCGATGATCGAGGACACGAAAATTCAATTCGGTTTTACACGTACATATAGGTGGTCTATCGTAGTGACCGATAACACGTGCTTTATCCTCGTCGTTTTTCGTATTTTTCCACGATCGGCTATACAACGTATACAGTAGCAAAACCTATAGAAGACGGCAAATCTCAGGACTGAGTAAAATGTTAATCTATAAGTTACGATTTTAAATTACTGAAGCGAAAGAAATTTTCAGTATTATTTAACGATTATAACTATTATCGACTGTTATTATTTTATATTATTACCTACTTGTAATTTATATATTTTGTTCAAATATATGTAGTGTGCTTTACTATGGGTTAATGTTAACAATTGGATATAACAACGTATATTATATATTTATATAGAAATGGAAAAAAATAACCGTCAATGTACTACACCACTACCAGTGGACTTCAACCTAGCTTTGCCATAAGTCCAGGTTTGCCCGGAATATGGCCTGGTATACATATAGGTATATAGGGTTAAGGGTTTGAAAATTGCATTTTGGTATCTTATAAAGCAGAAGTATTTAAACTTTTTCATCCCACGGCTCCTTTAAGTCTTCACAAAACGTTGACGGCTCGAAAATTATAAATGATAAAAAAATCAATGTTTATATGAATGTAATTTATGTTTTATAATTTACACTTATTATTTATTTACGTTTTCCGTAAAAATATTTATTGGTTTTCTATTATACTACGCGGCTCCCTTCGACAACTCATCCCGCGACGCCCCTGGGAGCAGCGCGCACTATTTGAATACCTCTGTTATAAAGTGTTTCGAGACTGCCAGTGGTCCCAGAATTAAACTTCAGTAATTATTGATTAATATTATGTTAAGATTTTGTATTTTATTAAACATTTCTAGTTGAAAAACAATGTTGTTATAATAAATGGTGCAACAGACAAGTTGATATTACTAGTATTACTATTTATTTTTTACTTATTTTCGGGTTTCAATGTTCCATAACGAACATTTTTGCTATCAACTGTCGTTAATTTTCAATAACTCATTCCGATTTGTAACATTTGAGTATGTAGTTTTTAATTTATAAACGTATATTATCGTGACGTAGAGTGTTGACCATTGTACCTATATTTGTGGTATTTTAGTTATGGAAAAATAAAATAATCAGACTGGTGGTAAACCGTGGAGAAGTGGTGAGATTTTTCCCATAGAAATATAAAAATAATTTTTTTTCCTGGTTAGGGTTGGCTCTTGGCACTCCTTGATATTCTCGGAAATGTCAAATACTGTCAAAAAATGAATACTTTTTCAGTCATTATTGTTTGTTCTTAAAAACAGTTACATTTTTTGATTCATGTATTTTTCAATTAAAAATATAAGTGTGTAGTTAAATTATTTTATATATTATAATGATTTAAAAATTTAAAAATATATTATAGCTACCTGCTATACTTTATTCATCATTAGGTACAGTTAGTATTTTTAGCATTAAAAAAAGAGTAATTATTTTGTTCCTAGTAAGAACCTATATAATGGCTCTATATTAATTATACTACTCAACGTCACAACTAATGAAACCTTTTTAATTTATTTTTAGATTCTGGGAGAAATTAGGAATTTAAGAAAGTTAAAAAACAAATCGTAAAATGTTCTTTTGATTATTCATTGTTATCTCAACACTATAGGAACACAAACAAAATATTCATGACATTTACCTATAGTACATAATATATATCAGATAGCTCCTTATTTATTTTATCTATTCGTTAGTTACCACGGATGCAACGTGCAGTAATAAATTTTACCATGAGACATGAGTTGCCTACATTTTAGGTGTGGCTATAATATGGATTAGGGTCTAGGGACCTGGTGTCCCGATTATCTTTATAAGGAATTCGATACATCCAAGAAATGTAATTCGTTATTATAAATTCGTATTGCATCATTTGATGATTTATATTACCTTTATCTCTACCGTATCTCTCGTTTTCCGGTTTTCGCCAAACCTACATATTCATTTAAAAGAGTGATTTTGAGTAGGTATTTAAAATTGGTTAAAATATTAACAGTTATAAAATATTTGTCGAATTAGTTGTCATCTAGTTCCTTCAATGTTAATTGTTTATAAGGGTTTCCCGTCTCATTGTGCTCTCGGGAATTCTCATCCCCGGTTCTGGTTTATGTAAAATAAAACATGCCAAAACCCCCAAAAGAGTGACGGGCGGCGTTGTATATGATGTGAGTCGGAGTGTCGATTGTCGAAGTTCTAAATACCTCTGGACCATAACCATAATCACGATTTAATAACAATTATTATTGTTATAACTTATAATATACGACGTCGCTTTATTATTACGAGTGGAGGCGCAAGTCACTTTTCCCTACTCGTGAACAGGATGACGTTACGTCGCCACCGCCGCCACCGCCGAGACACGCGGAGACCGAAACAAACGAACACGCGTTCGCCACCGGGTCGTGTTACACGCACGGCATCAGTCGCCGACCGCTTACCGTTCAAGATAGTGGCGGCGCTCGCCAACGATTGGGACTGTGTCCGCTGAAGTGCGCGGTGACTGCGTGTATAAACAGCTCTGCGGCTGCAGTGTTCGTATCCGACAGTTGTGATAATAATATAATATTGTTATAAACTGTATACTGTCCGCGTAACACTCGTAATAATAATAATAATAATAATAATATCATAATAACATCATTGATGTACCATCTTAACCGTGCCCTGCCTGTACCGCGCGATACACGCATTACACGTCATTTTGTCTCCTAAACGCGCAAAGGACGACGTCATTGTTTTGTCCATCACAAACTCACCACCGTCGGTGACACACTCGTTTTTATCTTAATTATTGTTATACGACGATGCCGGCAGGAATAAATAACAGTACAAGACGAAAATAAACAAAAACCATATAGATATCAACAGGTGTATCAACACGTCGTTCTGTGTCAAAAACCAGCTTGTCGTCAACGCCGCAGCTTTCAACGAAAAATAATAAATTATACCCGGCCAAACGCTGCTCACGTGTGTACACGGACCGATATAATCATAAACGCACTGCTGCAGGTAATTCATAAAATAAAAAAATTACCTATATAATATTGTGAACGTGACATTTTTAAAAACAACAAATATATACACAATACAAAATATATTCACCAAGTATCTTCACTTACATACAATTTTCCATTAATATTGTATTTATTTAAATTCTGATTTTTGTAATTTTGAAGTACATCTGCTTGACTTTATATTTAAAAAAATTTAAGGAGTGTCCTGTAACGATACAAAATTCATTTTCTCAAATGGGAACTACTTTTTTTTACCACACATTTATAAGCACATGCGTTTTTGAAACTTTTAATCTACCCAAGTCGCAATTCAAACGAGTAGATTGTGTCTTATTACAATATTACATTTCATGTGAAGGATAATAATTGCCCATGATAATACGTTTATTTTCAATTCAATTTTAATATAATTACTTATTCAGGATCCATTTTGTTCGTAGAGCATTAGGTTGTAAACAGAAAATGTTTTAAATATTGTCGTAGTAGTAAAATATAATTAAATCATTTTTTGGGAGAAAATTAAATAATATTGCTGAAATCACCACAATTTACAATGCATATTTTTATTTTTTATTCAAATATTGTATAATTAAATATCGTTCAAACATAGTTGGTATAATAATTTTAATCTCACATTATAAATGTTAGTATCTAACAGGCTAAATATTATAACAATAATTTACATTATTATTATATTTAGTATGATTCGTGTTATATATCTTCGGGTATTCAGTCTGTATTAAAAATACAATATTCAGAACCTGAATAAATGCAATATTTAAAGAAAATATGGAAGGTGAGCATGATTGGTAATCACATTATTATAACACAAACGTCGTGGTGGTCGTTATATATTTATTATAATATATTATCGTGTGTAAATAATAATTTGTGTGAGGTGTTCATTTTTTCTATCATTTTTTATCTTAATCCTCAAATGCATTTAGTGGTTATCATCGAATGCCGCACTGTTGGGACTGTATAGATAGGCAGGTACTATTGGTAGATGGATCTTTAAGCTGTTTTTGGATTTTTTCTATTCATTAATCTTATCGTGCCCGTTTTGTGCGCTGTTATACAAATAAAAGTATACATATGTGTAGGTAGGTAATGTGTGTATAATTATATTATATGGTTCCGTTTTTCCATAAGCTACAAGCGTGATGAATTTTTGCAATTGCGTTTATTTATATCCTAAGCATATTATTTTTGTTGTATGCGAGAATATGCGGGAAAAATTACGATTTACATTTGTTTTAAAAACTTAATTTCTTGCAAAAGTATTAACAAAATAGTACAGGTATATAATATATCAATCATATTTATAAAGAAACATTACAAGAAATTAACTCGAATGTAATAATATGTAGAGGATTAGTACTTGAAATATTCGTAGGTATAATGTTCCCAATAGTGCCATATGTTTTGATTGTGATCTTGTGGGCGGTAGGCCCTCAAATGTATTTGTATTTGTTTTCAGTAGGTACCTACATTATCACCTTGAAGAATAAATAACTAAACAAATATGTATAGGTAGTAAAGTTGGGAAATTATAGGTCTAATTAGATCCATAACATAATTTTACCAATTTTAATTTAATATAAAAAATAACTATAATTTAACACACTTGTTCAATGAATTTTGATAATATTGCCAGAACCATACAAATTAGTTGAATAATTTTGCGAATTCCGTTTGTGACGTACTGACGTATTTTGTACATTTTTAAATATAGGAATCCTTCAACTGTGGATATAAGACTTCTGAATGTAGACATAAGCATCATATTTTAAATTTATAAAATGTAGATTGCTGAGAATTTTTAATTGGTAGTCAACGGTGCTGGTATATTTTAATTTCATTGTTTTCTTCATAATGACAATAGATTTTTTGGTATAGTTCTAATTAAAATAATGGTGCTGCTAGTTAAAATAATAATGTCTTACGTTTCTAGATAATATATAATTTTTGGAACTACTATGAATATAGTACAATATTTTAAAGATTTTTATTAATAAATTGTTGATTGAGATTAAAAAATGACATCAATTTAGTTTATTATGTACCTAAATTAATATTTAATATATTAAGCCCGTGTACATATTTATAATTTATATTCAATTAATCGTTTCTTGTTTGGACAACATTTGATGAACAACTTCTTGTTAGGCTAATCTTTGTTGACCCTAAATCCTAAATCCTAAAATATTAAAATTACATTTTGTTTTAGAAAAACAACAACAAATTGGTTTTGACAACATTTTATTTTAGATAAAAAATCATGATGGATTTAAATAAATTGAATAAAATATATTGGATCAAACTGAACAAACCCCCTACTTAGCTATTTACATGTACATTTATACTTCATTCAACCAAACAATGATTTTAAATATTTAAAATCTTAGTATTAATGTATGTATTTAGTTATAATATCATATTACGACTAATAATAATCATATATAACTTGGTTAGGTATTCGTTTTTTCGTTAGTTGTTTTGACTTTTGATTATTCATTAAACACATTTATAAACTCTATAAATATAAATTGACATTGTACATATTATCAGTTTTAATTAAATTTAGTCTTGTGTAAAGTTTAAATAGAAAACACATATTTTGACAATTATTATAATTTATAGTTATTAGTAGTTAACTCAAAAACAAAATAGTTTTTTTATTATTCTGATAATAATACGAGTAATCGTACTTCAATATTTTATGATGATAATAAAATAAAACACAATGAGTAATAATTGAACACACATATTTTATATTATAGGTATTAAAAATCTTCTTCGACGGGTTAAAATCAAATACCTAGCTAAACTAAATAGGCTATTTTGTTTATTATTGATTCAAGTGCATAATACTTATTATAGAGTTATTATGTTGTTTATTTGTTCAATCAAGTTTTCTGTTTCATATATGTATCGTATGTTTTTCACAAATAAACTCGTGATTATAGATTTACCTGGTTTTATTACAAGTGATTATAGATACATTTTAATAACATATCAGTTCATAATTAAAATTATTTGCATACGTTGAAATAATAAAAAAATTTTTTTAACATTTATATCAACAACAACAAATAACTGAAACGGATTATAACATAATATAATATTCTACGTTTTGCACTATACAGTTTTGTATCTGTTTAATTTTCTATGTACCTACACTGCTGAACTATATGGATACAATAGTATAACACATTTAATTAAAAGGTAATAGATGATAGATAACTATATAATTATCTATTAGTATATTTTATTATCTCAAAACTTTAAATTTTTATAATTTTAACTACATGATACATTGATATTATTTTTAAATAAACATGATATTTTATACTAAATATTTGTTTAAAGTAATATTTACAAAGTACTAATAATATGGAATATATTTCCATCAGGCTGATTGATATCTTATAAGAACATAAAATATGAAAATAAAATTATTGATTGAACTGTAAAATATTTTTAAAAATATTTGTTTGGAATGTTTATAACAATTTACATATTTTTAATTTTTATATTACTCCTATTTAACATTTTTTTAAAATTCTTTCATGATTTTTTCATTATTTAATAATGGTTAGGTAGATATAATTTATAAATAAATAAAACACGGTCAGCACTTTTTAAATTATAGAAAATAATTATGTGAATACATAATTTAAATAAAAATTCACACACGCCAAAAGTATTATAAATGCCATATCTTTAGATAATATTTATAATTAAATATATGTATATATACAATAGGTGATAAGAATTAAATCAACAACCAAAAATAAATAATATGCATATAATTAAACAAATATATAAAAATAAAATAAAAAATTATATTTTAAATATATTTATTGCGTTATGCTAAAAAGTTAATAATACGAAGAATAAATTATCACCTTATATGGAATATTTTTGAAATCGAAAATATTTTGAAATTGTATTTAATGTTGAGTGGACCACTGGGAATTAGATGTTTGAATTCGAATTTAATGATAAAACATTTTACTTAAATGTTGTTATTTATCTACTGAAAAATATGAATAAAATCTTTTAAGTACTTTTTAAAGTCATCACTCATCAATGTTAAATATCCAATCTAATGGTGATGTAAGATATTTTTGTAGCTTTACAGAAGAAAACATTGTACAAAAATTAGAATTCGGATCATTCAATCAGTTCTGAATTCTAAAATAAATAGGGTAAAAAATATGGAATGGCAACAAATTATACCTAAACAAATAAACAATTAAGTGATAAGCATTGCATTTGATTTACCCAGAGCATTGAACATTTTAGGTTTTGTATTTGAATTATTATGTAATTTTACTCATAACAAATATAAATAAAACTACTTCGATCATTTTTTACTATATAAATTGCAAAATAGGTGTTATATTGAAATTAAAAACAAGGTTAAATAAAAAAATCCAATGAATAGTTTAAAAATAGTATGCAATTATGAAAAAAATATAGATTAGGTTGTTCCGGCTATGAGTAATACATGAATTCAGATAAACTTAATAGTACTGTTTTATTTCAAACTGTAAGTTCACACTAATGTTTCTTTAACCTATTTTAAAGATATGTCATTTAAGATGAGATAGTCAACATGATCTAGTTAGTTAATATACGAGTAGTTAGGTTGTTATTTTAATATAATTAAAAGTAACTAAAAATATATAAAAAAAAGTAATTAACTGATATTCATATTTGTAGGCAGTTAAATCATAATCTAGAAAATTCTTGTTTAAATGCATGATACAACTATAAAAATAAATTAGAACAATGCTATATTTGGAAAATAAAAACATTACAAAATGACATCGTCGGTAATGTAGTTCAGTGCGCTTAGTGTTATAATGTTTTTGATATATAATGTTTTGACCAGCTCTAATTCGCATCCACGGGAGAATGGAAATAATAACGAATATTACAACTCGTTGCCATTATCTAAATCGAAATTATTATTATGATGAACCA